ATTGCGCATGTCTGACACAGGCTTTAGCACCCTATTTAAAATACAACACGCTGAGGAACATTTGCTGAGTTGTCTGCTCGTGACCAGATCTGTATCCTGCTATCCTGTGTTTGACCTGACTTGCCCCCTGACTCTGCTCTGTTCAGATGCCCTGCTACTGACCTTGGTTTGTTTCCTAACTTCATCCTTCATCCTTTGACTGCTTGTTTGGTACCTCCATTACTCATTTGATAACAACTCCGACCTTGCATCTGACCTTTCTCTTGCCTTAATTTCGTACTTCTGCTGTCCAGTTGTTGCCAACTCTGGCCCGTCTTGACTAAAGCCTAGTTTTTGGCATCTGCAATGTCCTGAGCTCCTCCTGGGTGCCAGCATTCTGCACAAGTTCCAGTCTAAGCATCCCAGCAGTATCCAGACTGTCATCTGACCACCCACTGTGCCAGGACCTACTGCAGGCACCCATGCCACTCCTCTTCCTGTTATGCCCTGTCACCAACTCCAGGGGGTATTGAACAGGAGGTTTTAGGGAAGCCCTCTCATCAGCGTGTTCTCTACTAGGTATTTGACAGACAGGTAGGTGTACAGTCTTGACCTGTTACACTATTCTCTTAGCTTACTTCAGGAGCATTAAGGTTGTAGATGGATCCCATGGACATTCGTTCACTGGGTCCTAGGCTCCTGCTTAGGTTGCCTTGTGGATGAACTGTTCCTGGTCCACGGTACTGTTGTGATGCTACCATACCACAGAAATCAATGTGTCCATAAAATACATTTCTATGGTCTTATTTTTCATTGTTAGCAGCCTCCCTGTCCTGCACAAGATTCAGATGAGGCGGATTCTACGGTGCTGATGCAGCACTTTGGACAAAAAAAAAGGAAGCATTGTATTTTTTTCATCTTCATCATCAGTCATAAGCAGCAGCTTCCCTATCTACTTGGTTTATGATGGGTGTGCCTTACCCCCTCAAAATGAATTCTCATATTCTATTGCAGCCTCCCTCATGTTATTAGAGGCCACCAGCCTTTTTATCTTTTCGCTGACTGATGTATATCTGGTCCTCATACTGATGATGTGGCTGGGATTGTTCTGTCTTGTCAACGCTCTAGCAAAATTTTAATTGCACTCATTAACCTTTACCCTTCATTAAATAAAAAAATTAAAATAGCTCTCTCATGTTTAGCTTTGACCACCAGATCCCTGCATGTCCAGTGGCCAAATACAAGACCCCCCCCCCCCCCCCCAAACAAAAGGTATTGAAAATGTAAATCCTCTTGCATGACCTTAGCAATGTACTGTTCTCCTGTAACGTTTGTGTCTGAATACATTAATGTGTGTCCCAGTCATGCAGGTGAAAAATGTAATGGAATCCAGAAGCCTGAAGCCTATAAAAACGAACTGCGCAAATATCAACGTGGATCATCATACCGCAAACAGCATTGCCAAAGCAGTTCTCATTAATTGCTTGCAAAGTATATTCTTAAGCTGACTGTTCTTTATTACTGAGCAGGTACCTGGCCTTTGACCACTGACAATTATACAAATCTCAATTGTATTTATTGTTTAAGGTCAATGTTTTTTCTTTATGGAGAAAAAGCTAAGAGCTCTTTAAAATTGAATGAGGTCAATTTCTTCTATGACTCAAGAGGTATCCACTCCTAATACACTGTATGTAGGGTAGTGCTGTAACTATATTACACTTCTCTACTCTCTCCCCCTAAAAGACAAGTCTTTGAGCAAAATAATTAAAGCAACAAATTTTAAAGTCCCCCAATTTTATATATATATATATACACACACACACACATACTTACATACATATACGCACACATACTATAATATTACACGTCTCTACTCTCCCCCTAAAAGACAAGTCTTTGAGCAGAATAATTAAAGCAACAATGTTAGAAGTCCCCCAATTATATGTATGTGTATATATATATATATATATATATATATATATATATATATATATATATATATACACACACACACACACACACACACACACACACACGTACATATACCACACACATACATATATATATATATATATATATATACACACACATACATACACACACATATATACACACATATGCACACACAATGTATTGGCTGAATGCTTTTGCAACCTGTGCAAACTACTAAAAGAGTTACTACTAAGAGGACCGTGTCCTAGCCCCATGTTTCTGGGTTCCATAACTGTTCCATGGTCTTCTACGGCAATATTTCTCAACCTTCATTCAGTTAAGGCACCCTTTAAAATTATGTACAAATCACAAGGCATCCCTTTCTAACAACTAAATTAATAGTTTTACCCAACACAGCACCCATATATAGGACACCCAACATTAGAGGTGATTTATTCTTACAAAGTCAATACACCTTTGCACAATGGTACGCATGAATAGTCCAGCTTTTCTCTTCACTTTCAGTCGGCTAAAGTGACCCCAGTGCTGGTAGAGAGGGGCAGAGGAGGGGCAAACAGGGATTCTGTGTCTCCCTCATCGACTGATAATGTCATTGGTTGTCAGGATGCATGGTGCCAAAAGTTGTAAAGTTGCAGAACAAAAACCTGTGGCTTTCAAAAAGGCAGGCTTTATCCACCCTACTTGCTTGTACACAATTTTTGGGCAATTTTTAGGCACCTCTTAAAAACCCAGAAGGCACCCTGGCTGAAAAACATCCATTCTATGGATATAGTTATGTAATTGGTGTAGTGCTCTGGAAAGTTAATTGCAAACCTCTGCACCCATTTCTAAGATAGAGCCATTTCCATTCATTTATTGAGAGCTGACCATCCAGGAGCAACACATACTGCAAGTTTTTATTAGGATAAGTAGGTCTGAATGCTCCCGTAATTTTACCTTTTGGTGTTGGTAGGCATTCAGTACGATCACACTACAATGCATTCACTACATATTAACTAATGTTTTCATGCTGCTGGTATATTTTCTACAACATATGAAAAGATTTCAAGAATCACCAAAAAAATGTACGCCTTCAATAAAAATTTGGCCTGGATGCATTTGTGCTGCAGCTGGTATCCCAATGAATGTCTGAAGTTTATATAGTACCTGATGCTACCATTTGCAGCAGTGTAACTGCACTGATATATACATAGGAAATTACCAATAATCAGGTTCTACCAAACTATGAATCTTAAGCTATCATGGCTCTGCAAGTTAGATATTAGAAAGGTATGTTGAAGTTTGTACTTCATCAGCAGCTGCTTCTGTTTGAATGCAAAGTATGCAAAAAAAACCCAAAACACAATATTGTACATTGCAATATATCAAGGTAAGTCACTTACTTTCATCTTTGTCGGCGTCCTTACAGGAATGTAGTTCCCTGCTCCAGAGTAAGTGAGAGCAGTGACGCAGAAAGAAGAAGAAAAATAATTTAAGTATCAGATATCCCGTGATCATCCAAGTCACTCTGTTAACAAGTTCAGTGCAAATAGTTAAACATTAGTAAGGAACAGTAGGATTGGGCATAGTCCTAGATACTTGAAGGCAGTTCCAAGCACATTACAACATTTTTATAATAGCGAAGACACTGATCTATCTACAGGGTCATCTAAAAGTCCATAAGTGAGGAGAGTGGAGCCTGCAACAGATCAGCTTCAAAGTGTACAGGAAAAAGAGAGAGGGAAGTTTCTGCCAGCTGTTTTGGGCTGAGAAGAGAGGGGGAGTGCATGATCACTTTGTAATCAAGTTAGCTGTCAGCCCAGAAAGTTATCGAAGTTTTATGCAAGTCTGGACACTTAAGGAAGAAAAAAAAGAACTCTGAATTTGAATGATGTGAATGAGAGGTGGTATGTCTTTAATAAAACGTTATAGGCAAATTGTAGTCAGGTCAAGTTGTCATGTATGGAGAATTTGCTGTATTTTGTTTAAAGCAATTCCTAAAGCAAAAATTTTATTTTTTTAAATAACAAACATGTTATACTTACCTGCTCTGTGCAGTGGTTTTGCACAGAGCAGCCCCGATCTTCCTCTTCTCTGGTCCTTCACCGGCACTCCTGGCTCCATCCCCTTGCTGAGTGCTGCCATAGCAAGCCCCTTGCTATGGGAGCACTCGTGCATGTTTACATTCGAGCCGACTTTGTATGTCCATTGACACACAGAGCGTGGCTCAGCTCTACCCCCCCCTCCCCACTCTCTTCTCACTGACCAATGGCTTCCACTGCTGCCTCTCTGTCCAATGAGGAGAGAAAAAACACACACGAGAGATCTGCTGCTCTCATGCACATTGCTGGATCAAGATTGGGCTCAGGTGAGTATAAAGGGGGTTTGGGGGGGGGACGGGGGACTGCATGCAGAAGGCTTTTTACCTTAATTCATAGAATGCATTAAGATAAAAAAAACCTTCTGCCCTTAGAACCACAGAGAGAAGTAGACTTTAAGCAAATGCACATAGGAAACAAGTGGGGTTTTTTTTTGTTTCAGGGTACTTGCACATGGTACTGGCGTATGAATATCAGATATTCCCAGCAGAAAAAAACATGGAGGGTGGACTGTATAGCACTTGAATGTACATGTACACACATGCAAAAATTCTATTAGCTATTTTTAAATTAAGGGAGTGTGGCATATGCACATATATGCACGTATTTATGCATTTGCACATACATACAGTGCCTTGACTAAATATTCATACTCCTTGAAATTTTCCACATTGTCATGTTACAACTAAAAACTTAAAATGTATTTTACTGGGATTTTATGTGATAGACCAACACAAAGTGGCACAGAATTGTGAAGTGGAAGGAAAATGATAAATGGTTTTCAAAATTTTTTATAAATAAATATCTGAAAAGTGTGGCGTGCATTTGTATTCAGCCCCCTTTACTCTGATACCCCTAAGTAAAATCTAGTGGAACCTATTGCCTTCAGAAGTCACCTAATTAGTAAATAGAGTCTACCTGTGTGTAATTTAACCGCCTCCCGCCCGCCGGGCACAAGGCGGTTCTCTCGTTCTGGGAGGACGTCATATGATGTCCTCCCACTCTAACCGCACATGCGCGGCTCTGGGAGCGCGCAGCACGGCGATGCGTTGTGTCCCCCGGACACTGCGGATCACCGATCAACGGAAAGATGTCGGCTCGGTCATGTGATCAGCTGTGTCAAATCACAGCTGATCGCATGTAAATAGGGAAATGTCGGTTATCTGCATTTCTCTCCTCACGAGCTGTCAAGCTGACAGCTCGTGAGTAGAGGAGAGCCGGTAATCGGCATTCCTTGTAGGGGACATGTACACTAATCATCAGGGTACTGATGATAAGTGTGCCCTGATGATCAGTGTAGCCCCAGCAGTGCTACCTGTCAGTGTCCATCAATGCCAGCTGACAGTGCTTATCAGTGCCACCTGCCAGTGCCCATCAGTGCCTCATCAATGCCACATATCAGTGCCCATCAGTTCACATCAATGCCACATATCAGTGCCCATCTGAACTGCCTTTCAGTGTCATCTATCAGTGCCAGTCAGTGCCACCTATCAGTGCTGCCAATCAGTGCCGCCTATCAGTGCCACCTATCAGTGACTGTCAGTGCTGCCTATCAGTGCCACCTAACAGTGCCAGCCAGTGCCACCTAATAGTGCCAGTCAGTGCCACCTATCAGTGCCGCCTATCAGTGCCGCCTTTCAGTGCCCATCAGTAATGCCTGTCAATGCCCATCAGTGCTACCTACCAGTGCAGCCTATCAGTGCCCATCACTGCAGCCTCATTAGCGCACATCAGTGAAGGAGAAAAATCACTTATTTAAAAAACTTTATAACAAAAACTAAGAAATGACATTTTTTTTTCAAAATTTTCAGTTGTTTTTGGTTTGTTTAGCAAACAATAAAAAACCCAGAGGTGATTAAATACCACTAAAAGAAAGCGCTATCTGTCTCAAAAAAATTATAAAAATTTCATGTGGGTACAGTGTTGCATGACTGCGCAATTGTCATTCAAAGTGCGACAGCGCTGAAAGCTGAAAATTGGGGAGGAAGGGGGTATAAGTGCCCGGTAAGCAAGGGGTTAATCTCGGTATAAATACAGCTGTTCTGTGAAGCCCTCAGAGGTTTGTTAGAGAACATTAGTGAACAATCAGCATCATAAAGTCAAGGAACACACCAGACAGGTCAGGGACAATGTTGTGGAGAAGTGTAACGCAGGGTTAGGTTATAAAAAAAATCCCAAGCTTTGAACATCTCACAGAGCACTGTTCAATCCATTATCCGAGAATAGAAAGAGTATGGCACAACTTCAAATCTACCAAGACACAGGGGTGTATTTACACAAGGCACAAGGCATTTTCCTAGGGCGGCGTTTTTCAGGGGGGGACAGCACTGCCCCTCAGAAGAAGGGACGGAAGAAGGGACACACACAGCATGGGAACCTGGTGGGTTCCGAGAGAGGTTGCGGGTTTCATGATGGTGTATGGACAGCCCAACTCTCATTCCCGGGGATGTCCGGAGCTGCGAAGGTGAATATCTCTCTCTGTCACCATGGGGGATGGTGGCTGGTGTATGGTGGGCAGTGGTAGTGGAAGGCTCTCTCGAGTGGGGATCAAGGGTGTTGTTGGTCAATGTCAGGCTCTCTCTACGGGGGGGAGGGCGCCAATTTTTGTGTTGCTTAGGGCAGCACAAAACCTAAATACACCACTGCCAAGACATGGCCGTCCACCTAAGCTGACAGGCCGGGCGAGGAGAGCATTAATCAGAGAAGCAGCCAAGAGGCCCATGGTAACTCTGGGGGAGCTGCAGAGATCCACAGCTCAGGTGGGAGAATCTGTCCACAGGACAACTAGTAGCCGTGCACTCCACAAATCTGGCCTTTATTGAAGAGTGCCTAGAAGAGAGCTATTGGTGAAAGAAAACCATAGGAAGTCCCATTTGCAGTTTGTGAGAAGCCACGTGGGGGACACAGCAAACATGTCGAGGAAGGTGCTCTGGTCAGATGAGCCAAGTTGAAGTGCTGCTATACAGTGGATTGCAAAAGAGTGATGTCAAGCCAAACTGAGGTACTTACACTATTTGTAATTATAAATATTATTTGTGTCTTTTATATCTACATTGAGTTCTACTTTCAGTTTGTGTAAGCAGTTCTATATTATTACAGAAAATTCTGGGTATGTTTTTTTTGGGCCTAGTCTTTGAGGAGTCAATTTGTTCTCCTTTTGCATACGTTTCTTCCGCAGGCCAAAGAAAAAAAAAAAAGAAGATGGTAGGACAGTTGGCTTTATATGATCCAATGTGTTCTTGATTGTGTCAGTGAAGCTGGGAAATTAGACAGTAAGGTAAGCCATACATTATCCAATTTTCTTTCCTTCAACCACATGTTGAAGCAAAGAAAGTTGCTCGATTCCTCATCAACACTCTTGCTGCACTGTTGTGTTGTGCTGATGGGGAGCACAGAGAGCCTTCCCCATACAGTGGTCACTGCTGGCAGATTTATAGCCACCGGCAAAAATAAAACTTGACAGGCTGGTTGTGCTGAAAATGATCGATGGATTGACTTTACTACAACCAATCCGCCCATAGACAGATCAAAAATTTAGATCAGTCTATGGCTGGCTTTAGTTACATTGAGGGATTGGGAGTATTGGTTTATTTTCCGCTAAAACCTATACTATTTGAAGTTAGAAGACAAATCCATAAGAATTATTGTCTGGCAATAATGAGACACTGAGCTTTCTAGTGATCAGTTCAGTATACACAAAACTTTGCCGGACCATAGTAAAGTAAAGTAACATCTGCTGGTCAAAGTTTCCAAAGAGCCCTGGCATGGCTTGTTTGTGACAATGGAGAGTGCCAGTTGACAGATCAGTTTGGGTGGAGTGCATTTTTCCTACTTATGTCAAGTATCATCAGACACACAATATATGAAACACCTAACAGTCACATCATTATGTAAATTTACATTCAGATGAGTCAACTCTTGCTGAACTTCCAAAAAAATTTACCCCAAAAATAGAGACAACCGGGAGGCATTTATAATCATTATTAAATATTTTAATTTTTTTGTCCATGGCTAAGTTTTTGTTCCCATTTAATTGTATGCTTTGAAAACCTTTAAATAAACCATGTTGTTGGTTGGTTTCAACTATACATGCCTGTATTCCATGTGCACTGGATCTGTGCACCAAAAAAGCTGAGTGTATTATATTTTTTTCAATAAATGCTGTGTTAAGCGGGGAGCATATTTCCTTCTCTGTTCTGAGTTTATTGAAAACATTCCACCAAGGGTTGCTGAGGATGGAGATGGATTGAGAAGCCCCAGTGACCTGGAGGAAACCATTACTCTTGTGATATAGGTGACCCAACTACAAGGGGCAGGCGCATGAGATCTTGTTGCGAGGCCTATCAAAAATGTGAGAGCATAATATGGGTATCTACATGTGGTGATCATATAAACGAAGATTTTAGAAATGACGAGCACAGCATGTAGTACATATTTGATGGATTGCAGGGCTGGATTTCTGGACATAGAGTATTCTAATAAAAATATATGGACCCTTGGAATTTACCATTATTTTATGTTTTGTAGTTATGGGTGTGGATTGTTTCAGATATATGGTGAGGCGTTTAACGCATATATTTTATGCATGATTCTGTGTTTTGACATATACGCATATGATATACGCATACGACACACGCATGTCCACTGAACATACTTTATTATAAGATTTAATTCGAGTATTGTTCCAGATATATTGTGATGACCTAAAACGCATAGGTTCTACACATGTTCTATATTTGGACATAAACGCATAGGATACACGTAGGTCCACCTAAAACACTTTGATTATTTGATATGATTCTATGTAATATTGCACGGCACATGAGAATTTATCACTAGCATGATTTGGTACTGCGCGGCACTGAGGCACTTATACTATTTTTTTTTACTTTTTTGTGGGAACACAGTGTGAGCAGTAGTACTAACATTAGTTATACATAGCATTTAGATATTTTTGTGTATGCAAAATTTTTTCGCTCAGTAGTTTGCACTGCTTTAGAGTGATAGCGCTGAGGTTTTTTCACTATTGCACTCATAGTTTAGTATATAGGGGTAAATTTTTTTTTATTGTGTTCATTATTTATAGATGTGCTATTTCAGTCTATTATTTTGACTCTCTTCATCTACAGTACATCAATGGCGTTTTAAACCAAACAGGTGTTCTTAGAGTGAAACTCTTGCCAAACATTTTAAATTTGATTTCTTGTTTTTATGGGGGAGATTTACCCCAATGTGTGACCCTGTTTGGGTGATTTTCCTTCACTTCCTGTCCCAGAGATACAGTGCATTGCTGTGAGCTGCATTCCCTTCATTGGGAACTAGGCTTCTGTATAATCCTGTAGATCTTTTACTAGAGGCGGGTGGTACAATATCATTGGCTCCCTAGGAGAATACAATTTAAAGAGGAAATAGAAGCTGTTCAGCTTGTAAAAAGGTCCTTTACAAAGTTTGGCCTTCGATAGTATAGAAAAAAGGAGAAAGAGCTGGTTGCTGGGTGGTGAAAGTCATTCTGCAGAGGCAATCTTTGGGTTAACACCCTGCCATTGTGATAAGATACCTGTGCTTGTCATGAGATCACTCCAACCGAGCGTTTGTGTTCTCCCGTCAAGGGAGCCATCCCTGCTAGGAGAACACAGTGATTATTGCTAGAGACTATAACAGTTGCTAGCAATAAATCCATGAAATTCAGCAACCTGGTTGTACCCATGCTGATCAATCGATCAACTTGTATACATTAAGCTTGCACATACAAGGCTTGAATCTTGGCCGGTTTCTTCTGAACTAGCTGAGATTTGAACAATCTATGGCCTGCCTAAAGCATTGGTACCTTGGGATACTAACAAAACTCTTATGGAGGACAAGATAGCACAAGGCTTATTAATCAAAGGTAAAGCTGAACCCCAGATAAATATGAAAGACACAAATGAATGTACCTCTGCAATAATTAACACGTTCTTACATGTTTTTTTTCAAATTAAAACACGTGGATTTAACTTGATATCAGCCCAGAGAAGGATGTTAGAATGGAGGGTCGAGAGTGGTGCCTCTCTGAGGTTCACCACCAAGTGACGCCAGGCAGTGCTGGAAACCCTGCAGAGGACTACCTTGTGCTCTGCAGTGGCCATCTTAGGGAAAGCTATGCCAGATAAGCCACAGGATTCCCATGGGATTTGGTGGCCATTTTTGTGTAGATATGGTATACAATAAATACCACGCTCTGCACGACATATAGGGAGTCCTGCATGATACATGAAGAGCCCAACTACCATCATGTAGGCTGAGAAAGAGAAGCCCACATAATTGCCCTTTTCTAAGGAACAAGGCTGCTCCCAGACAAGGAGAGAACCTTTAGTGGCTGAGGAACATTTGGGATCACAGGCATATCTTACGCAAGGTTTTCCCCATGAAGGAAGCCCTAAATATACCAGAATAGAAACCAGAAAGCACCGAGAGTACCCATGCTGGGAACAACTTTACCCGCAGAGCCTTTTGGGGATAGACAGGACAGCGGTTTCATCCTTTTTAGGAAACTAACTGAGCAGCTGTGTCACTGTGAGCACCCAAACACTAGAAGTTATGGAAGATGTCTCTTCTACATACCATGTTGGATATGCCTACTTATGATAGGAAGATTGTTCGCTGACAAATTATGTTGAAGTAAAATTGTTACAGGGCAAACTGTACCCAACTGAACATTTGGTGTCTGCAATGTTCTAGGATAAAGAGTAAGTGAGACTTGTAGTGAGGCTTATAGGCTCTGCAGGGAATAGTGATGAAGTAAATCCGTGGGTCTCCCATTAGTTGAAGCAGACCAACCACTTGGGGCTGAGGTGCCCCACTGGCCCAGTGGAGTGTTGGGCCCTCGTATTATACCTGAAGCTACTGGGAATAGAGAGGCTTCTCAAGCCAAGGAGTTTTTCTTCTGATTTTGCACTATGTAATATTGAGCTGTAGCTATGGCTTCTCCCATACCCAAACGTTCTGAAAGACTCTTTCACTCATGATTGTGAGGCTTAGACAAACCTGCTGGAAGGGGTACTTGTTGTATGGATGTATTGCAGTCACTAGGTGGAAAGCCTGTCCTTACCAATCTAACACTTGGCATAGGCCACCCTACAAGCCTCTCCCTCTTGCACAGCCTAGCTCAGATGGGTGGGGGGTTGGGGGGTAAAGGCAGCACAAAGGAGAATGCTGATAGCATTGTCAGTCTGCTGCTGTGTTGTTGGCTAATTTGGATGCACTGGATGCCTTTGCTGTCATTTTGGTATAGCTGGGCATCATGTGTGCCTCTATACCTTTAAGGAGGGATGGGCTCCTTCAGGCACACCTGCCCTTCACCTATCCATTAATACATGTGCTCCTACTATGGACGCTTTGGAAAATCTAGTTAGGTCCACAGTATACAGAGTACAAAAAATGTCCGCTGCCCCAATCTATAACTGGCCTTCACAGCAAGGAGCAAATGGAAGGGGCGACGCATGTCAAACAAAAAAAAGAGAAAAATTCCCTGCTCAGCTTGCCAACCAGCCTGCAAACAAACCGAATGAACCTGTCTAATCATTTGTGTTAAAAACAAGGGTTTAGTTCGCACACATTTGCAAATACATGCGTAAGCTACAGAGCCTTGTCACGGCACCCCGATATTCTGTGGTTCCTAACTCCACAAACTTTGAGAGCCCCCATAGTAGAGGAACATGTATTTAAATGGATAGACCAAGGGCTGCCCACTCCACCCCTCCTTAACCACTTGCCTACAGGGCACTTTTACCTCCTTCCTGCCCAGGCCAATTTCCAGCTTTCAGCGCTATGACACATTGAATGACAATTGCGTGGTCATGTAACACTGTACCCATATGAATTTTTTATCATTTTTTTGTGACAGATAAAGCTTTATTTTGGTGGTATTTAATCACCTCTGGGTTTTTTTTTTCTTAAACAAACCAAAAACCACTGAAAATTTTGAAAAAAAAAGAGTTTTTTCTTAGTTTTTGTTATAAAATTTTGGAAATAAGTGAATTTTCTCCTTCACTGATGTGCGCTAATGAGGCTTTAGTGATGGACACTGATAGGCTGCACTGATGGACACTGATAGGTAGCACTGATGGGCACTGATGAGGAGGCACTGGTAGGTGGCACTGATGGGCATTGACAAGCATCACTGATGGGCACTGAAAAGCAGCACTCATACATGGCACTGATAGGCGGCACTGACTGGCACTGATAGGCGGCACTGATAGGCAGCACTGACGGGCACTGATAGGCGACACTGATGCACACTTATAGGCGGCACTGACTGGCACTGATAGGTGGCACTGAAAGGCAGCTCGGATGGGCACTGATATGTGGCACTGGTAAGTGGCATGGATGAGCACTGACAGCTGGCACTGATGGACACTGACAGGTGGCACTGCTGGGGCTACACAGATCATCAGGGCACACCTGATCATGATGAACTGATCATTAGTGCTCTGATGATCAGTTTCCATGTCCCCTCCGAGGAATGACGATTACCAGCTCTCCTCTCCTCTCGAGCTGTCAGCGTGACAGCTCGAGAGGAGAGAAATGCCAATAACCGGCATTTCCCAGTTTACATGTGATCAGCTGTGATTTGACACAGTTGATCACATGACCGAGCCGACATCTTCGGCTCTTTCCATTGATCGGTGATCCGCTGTGTCCGGGGAACACAGTGGACAATGTCATATGATGTCCTCCCATCCTCCCAGAACGAGAGAACCACCTTGCGCCCGTCATTGTACCATATGGCGGGCGGCAGGTGGTGAAAGGTACAAGAGCGCACTGGAATCCCAGCATGTAGCCCAATGGTGCAGTATACAGAGGACCATTGATGTGGGACTGTGGCTTACACATGTATTTGCAAATGTGTGCAGATAAAACCCTCTGTTTTTTAATGCAAACTGTTAGACAGGGCCAAATTGGTTGTTTTGCAGGCTGGTTGGTAAGTGTTGCTGGGAAATTCTTTGTTTGCAATGTCCAGTGAATACATTGGGAGACAGATAGTGATGCAGTGTGGTCCATTGGGAGCGGGAGGCATGTTCTGTGATGGCATCCACCAGGAATGGTGAATGTCCCACCCTGCCATCATTTGTCTATGGGCCAGGTGGGAACTGGTTAATTAAAAACGTTTTATTTAGGATAGAGAAAGGAAGAATTTGAGCCCCTGTCAAGTTTTTATTGCTGTTTTGTGTCCCCACTGGGTAGATTCAATCTCTCCGTTTGTCCTGAAGACCATTGTCACCAAGAATAATTGTGATGGGAAATGCACGAGTTATGCTCAAAAGAAGAGGTGAGGGAAATCCTCTAATGGGGACACCTGTTATGCCACTTTCACATAGACAGCAAGGGGGATGGTGGTAAAAACAAGCATTTGAGCCACTGTTTTACCATCCACCAACAAAGTTTACATTACAGCCAGAGGGGGCTGTTTCACAGGCTGCGCCCATGATGCTTTGCTTTGTGGCTGTGGTAAATTTAACATGGCATGTCGAGTTGATAGATTTGATCGGTGGTACTGCTTGTCAAACTCAACCATTTAAGCCAGTGGGGCCATACCATGACAAACGTTTGACTCATGGTTGTGGTGCACAAATCCAACTGGAAATTACCATTCAGGACAAAAAAAAAAAAAAAAAAAGACTCATCTGAATACATGACAGTAATTATCTGCACTCTGAAAAGTGATCCTTCACTCTTCAGAGAATGAGCTAGTGTGACCTTATCCTTACATTGACCACTGTTTAAGAGGGCAGTTCTTTACACTTTTCAGAAAAAAAGTATAGGATCAGAGACAACAAACAAAATGACAAGGGCTTTAACCCTTACATTTTCTTTAATTTTGGATAAAGCGGGTATTTCCTATGTATACAATTTAGCATTTCCAAACCCCCCCTATAAAAGTGAATGGAAATCAAAAGTCCCCCAAATAGAAGAGTTTAACCTTACTTTTCCTTTCTAGATAAAAGATCGACTTACCGTCCATACCATGCGGATCGTTAATCAAACGTGTATATGACATGGTAGAAATAGAGGTGATCCTCAAACTCGTCAGGAACAATAGTAAGCAATTCCAGAAGGAAACACACTGAAAGGTAAAATGGAATGAAAGTGACAGAACAGCTTCAAATACAGAAGATACTTGGCTCACTGAGGGCCTAAGTGCCGAAACCTGTTCTGCAGCATTATGTGAGCACGGTGCTGACACAAGGAAGCCTGTCACTGTGACTTAACCATGATTTTATTTATACTGCCAGATAGAAACTGGTTGAACAGCTTTCATATTTAGATTTCGTTATACAGTGTACAATAATGTAACAAAAAAAAATTATTTTTTCATTTATAAAAAGATGGGGCTAGATAAAAGAGCATTTCCTTCCAACAATTGAAAACACATTAATAATCTGATAATGCATTTAGTAACAACTACAGTGAAAAATACATTACCCTAAAATTTATGTAATTCAGTTAAAGTGGTTGTAAAGGCTAAAAGGTTATTTACCTTCATGCATGAAGGTAAAAAACTTGTGTGCAGCAGCCCCCTCAGCTCCCACTACTTACCTAAGAGGGGGAGGGGGCTGATCCATGGCTCTGTGTGTGAATAGACACACAGAGCAGTGGCTCAGGAGAGAGACTGCTTTGGTGCCCCAATAGCAAGCTGCTTGTTCTGGGGGCACTAAACAGGAGGGAGAGGCCTGGAGCGCCAGCTGGGGACCTGAAAAAAGGAGGAACAGAGCTGCTCTGTGCAAAACCACTGCACAAAGCAGGTAGAGTATGACATGTTTGTTATTTTTTTTTTTTAATTGTCTTTAAACACCTTCCGCCCTCCCTATAGTACAATGATGGGCGCAAGGTGGTTCTCTCGTTCTGATAGGACGTCATATGATGTCCTACCATTCTCCCTGCGCATGCGCGGCTCAGGAAGCGCAGCGCGGCCATCGGACACAGCAGATCACGGAAAGAGCCGAAGATGATCACATGTAAACACAGAAACGCTGGTTATTGGCATTTCTCTCCTCTCAAGCTGTCACGCTGACAGCTCGAGAGGAGAGCCGGTAATTGGCTTTCCGCAGAGGGGACATGTACACTGATCATCAGGACACTGATGATCAGTGTGCCCTGATGATCATTGTGGCCCCAGAAGTGCCACCTGTCAGTGCTCATCAGTGCCACGTGCCAGTGCCCATCAGTGCCACATCAATGCCACATATCAGTGCATACCAGTGCACATCAATGCCACATATCTGTGTCCATCTGAGCTGCCTTTCAATGTCACCCATCAGTGCCAGTCAGTGCCACCTATCAGTGCTGCCAATCAGTACCGCCTATCAGTGCCAGTCAGTGCCGCCTATCAGTGCCAGTCAGTGCCGCCTATCAGTGCCAGTCAGTGCCGCCTATCAGTGTCATGTCTCAGTGCTGCCTTTCAGTGCCCAGTGATGCCTGTCAATGCCCATCAGTGCAACCTATCAGTGCCTCCTCATCAGTGCCCATCAGTGCCTCCTATCAGTGTCCATCAGTGCAGCCTATCAGTGCCCATCACTGCAGCCTCATTAGGGCACATCAGTGAAGGAGAAAAATCACTTATTTACAAAATTGTATAACAAAAACTAAGAAAAACATTTTTTTTTTTCAAAATTTTTAGTGGTTTTTGGTGTGTTTAAGAAAAAATAAAAATCCCAGAGGTGATTAAATACCACCAAAAGAAAGCTCTATCTGTCTCAAAAAAATGATACAAATTTAATATGGGTACAGTGTTGCATGACCACGCAATTGTCATTCAAAGTGTGACAGCGCTGAAAGCTGGAAATTGGCCTGGGCAGGAAGGGGGTATAAGTGCCCTGTAGGCTAGTGGTTAATATCACTTTAAGCAAAGATCTAGACAGACCTCCATGTGTAGGGTGGGTGGGTCTTTTTCCTTAAAAAGAGTTATATGGTCACAGCATTGTTGTAATAAATATAATATTTATGGTCACAGCATTGTTGTAATTAATATAATATTTATTTTGAACAATCTAATATAATCTTACTTGAAAACATTCTTTCATGTTGTGAGCTCTGCCTGTACATTGGTGTCTCTTTCCACAACCGCCTGGATTCCTTGCAGCTTCTCTTCTGCTGTTTACGTTCAATTGCTAAGGACTACATATCCCATGGTACCTTGCAAGCAGTGATTCCTGTGCTAATTCTGCCTCCTGGAACTCCTTCTCAGCTCCTCTATAATTCAGAAGGCAGGCTCTGTGAAATGTGTGACACAGAAGTGGTACTCACAGGACATAGACTACATAATACAAAATTCAAGGAAGTATATGTGTGGAATTCTTTCAAACTTCAAGATTGTCCAATTAATAGGAGTTAGCTATAAAGAATTGCAGTGCAATGTGGAAATAAATATGGGATTATACATTTAAACGACTTCAGGTCTCAGACCTGTACACTGCCTTTGTACTAGATTTTTACATTTCTGCTGTGGGCCTGTGGATTCAGCAATAACGTTGTCATTAATTAAAGCAGGAAAATAATAGTCAATGGAGAAGGCGAGTTAGTTAGGCCTGATTAGGGTAACCTAAGGGTTAATGGGCTAAATAGAAGGAAATTTTATTTACCCAAAAAATTATTTTACTTGTCCGACTGCTTTACCTGACATCATATGATCATTCCTTTGATCTTCAGATGAATGAAATAGGGGTAGATATATAAGTAACAATGTTAATTTGTATCACACATCTGAATAATGCTTCATGCATTGTTTACAAATCCTGTGAGTGGGTAAATTTTTTTTTACTATTTTTTTTTTTTTTCTTTATTACAGGTACTTATATATTCAATTTACAGAGCGCTTTACATATATATTGTCCCTGTCCTCAAGGAGCTTACAATCTAATGTCCCTAACTCACATGGGTGAGGTCATGTGTACTGCTCTATGCCAGCTACAAATCCCATAGTTCCTATTCCATCTCAGAAGCGAGCAAGAGATGGTGGCTATGTTCCTACATATAGTGGGACCATGGAGAATGAACATAGCCACGCTCTAACAGGAAGTCAGATTACAGCAACAAATAAAAAATGATTTGGAAAAGGCTGAGAGCAATAGAAGTGACTCTTTGGAGCTAAAAATATGTAGCACCCTGCAGTGATGCTAATTGCAGGATGGTAAATGAACACAAGATGGCTGTGTTCTGTGGCACAGTTACCCAGACTCTAGTGAAGAAAAACATTGCTGGACTTGTATGCTGGCAGAAGGACTTTGCTGTTTGGATCACAGGTAAACAGACTACATTTCCCAGAGTAGCTGGCTAAGAGGCAGGAGCATATAAATACAGAAGCCCGGGAACCAGAAGGCAGGAAGTGGATAGTCAGAGCCAGAGAGAAGGTGTGTGGAGACGACTGTGCAAGACACTGGAGATCCGGACCCAGAGAGTGAAAGAGTGAGGAGGAATTACAGTCCGCTGGCATTGCTGACAAGCAGGACCGTCAATCCTGTAGCCAGGCAGGCAGAGCGGAGTGCTTTCATCTGCATTGCTTTCCGGCCAGAGAACCAAGAAAAAACGGGGGACCCCCTTTTTGAGAGACCATCTGCTACATTAACAAGTCTACAAATCGCG